AGTCTTCAAGGGAGAAGACAAAATGAAGATGCTTCTCATGAAAGATGAAATCAGAACAGGACAGTTAGCTCAAGAAGAAGCTGCAGAGATAACAAGAAGTGCTGATGTTGCACAAGAGCCGACTGCACAAGATGCTACCACACAGCAAGCAAGATACCGAGAAGTTGCAAGAGAGCCGACTGCCGAAGATGCTACCATACAGCAAGCAAGATGCAGAGAAGTTGTAAGAGAGTTGGCTCAAGAAGATGGTACGATACAAAGAAGAAGGCTGGTTGATGTCAGAGAAGGAGAGCCCGTGATACCTCAAGAAGAGATCGCGGAAGGTCGAGTGACTGTGATGGGAGATGAGCACTCAAGACCACCAAGAATCAACCCTGACCTGCAGGTGCTGAAGAGGGTAAACCTACCAGAGCTCAAGCTGAGGACCTTCGATGGGAACATTGAGACATTCAAGTCGTTCCTGCGAGCATTCAAGACCAACATCGCCTCCAAGCTCGATGACGAAGAAGAGAAGTTAATGTATCTGATGCAGTTCACAGCAGGCAAGCCAAAGGAGATCGTCTCAACATGCATTCATCTTCCACCAGAGTTGGGATATCAAGAGGCAGTGAGATTGTTGGAGCAGCGCTTCAGCAATGATGCACAGACGACTGAAGGACTCCTCAACCGCATCCTGTCGCAGGCCAGTATGCGATCTGATGACGTCAGCAGCCTGGATTCGTTCGCCATTCACTTGCGAGGGACTCTCAACGCGTTGAGGAATCTGCCACATGGGACAGGCGTTGTAGATGCGAAGACAATGCGAGACATCATCGACAAGGTTCCCTTCTTGGCAGATAGATGGCGTCGTGAAGTCGATCACATCGAATGTGAAGAAAGGAGGAGACCAGACTTCACTGATCTTGTGGCGATGATTGAGAAGGAGGCAAGAATCGCTTCCAATCCCACCTATGGACGACATGTTCTGGCTTCCAGGACCACAAGACCTGCAAGAGAACCCCGATCTAAGCAAGTGAGCGCACCAGCTCTGACTGGGAAGGTAAGCATGGTGAGAACCCAACAAGACCTCTGTCTTTTCTGCCAGCAGGGTCATGAGACGGACCGATGTCCGAAGCTGGAAGTCAAGACGTATGAAGAGAAGACCAAGTTCGTAAGAGCCAGTGGGCTGTGCTTCTCCTGCATGAAGAAGGGACATCTCGCGGCAGCATGTCGTCAGAGAAGCACGTGCGCAAAATGTAACCGCAGACACCCAACCGTGCTGCACCGACCTCCGAGAGACTCGGTTGCACCTGCCAGGTCTCCAGATCCCTCAGCTGATCAGCCTTCACCTCTGAGAAACCCACTTTCACCCGATGGTCCACCAGCAGCTACCGCCGGACACGCCGCTCCGAAACGAGAGAACGGGGGAAAGCTGCAAGTTGTGCCGGTGGTTGTCCTGATCAACGGAAAAAGACTGAAAACTGCAGCCTTCTTCGACACGGGCAGCACCCATTCGTTCATCACAGAGCAGCTCATCAGTGAAGCCGGCATGTCTCCTGACAGACAAACGTCCATGACGGTGTCTACCATAGTCAGCGACCAGAAGATGAGCACCAGCGTGGTGTCGGGTGTGACCATCGAGAACGAAGAGACGGGGACTCGACAGGAACTGCCGCCACTTTACACCCTCAACACAATCCCTGTAACGGAAGATGACATTCCCACAGTTGATGACGTTCGTAGATGGCCGTACCTGCTAGAGAGCGGGGTGACAGTCTCAGATGAGGCGTCTCTTCCAGTCGGGCTCCTCATCGGCGGCAACGCCGCAGTAGTGATGGAGCCGTTGAGGTTTGTGAAGGGGGAAGATGGCGGACCATACGCCACTCTAACCAGGTTCGGGTGGATCCTCGGCGGTCTGAAGAACGTGAGCAGCAGATGTCGAGTGAACCGCATCAAAATCAACGAGAACGACCCAATGGCTGAAGAGTGGTTCGAAAACCGAGCTGAAGTAAGGAGAGGACTCTCGGTAGAGGACGTGAAGTGGTGCACTCTCATGGAACACGGTTGTGTCAAGAAAGAGAGGTATGAGATTGTGCTGCCATTTCGAGACCAGGAGCCTCGTCTGGAGAACAACCGAAGTGTGGCAGAAAGGCGCCTGGAGCTGCTGAAAAAGAAGTTTGAAAGGGACAAAGAGTACGCAGAGGAATACACCACTCGGATGAACAAGCTCCTGGAAGATGGACACGCTGAAGCGGCACCAGAAGCTCGAGAAGACTCAGGGAGATGGTATCTGCCCCACTTCGCGGTCAGACATCCGACGAAGGAGACCCTCCGTGTTGTCTTCGATTGCGCGAGCAAATACCGTGGCACCAGCCTCAACGACACGCTGCTGCAGGGACCAGACCTGACCACGGTGGACGTGCTGCTTCGCTTCCGTCAAAACCCCTGCGCCTTTACAGGTGACATTGAAGCAATGTTCCTGCAGGTCTCTGTTCCCGAGTCTCAGAGGGACTATCTGAGGTTCCTGTGGTGGCCCGAAGGTGTTATCAGCAATCCTCCTTGTGAGTACAGGATGAAGGTTCACCTGTTCGGCGCAACATCTTCTCCGAGCTGTGCCAACTTCGCGCTCCATCGTACAGCTGAAGATAACGACTCCCTGTCAAGAGAAGCCAGTGAAACGATCCGGAACAACTTCTACGTAGACGATGTTCTGAAGTCCGTCAAGGATGAAGAGACAGCGATCAAGCTGATGAAGGACCTGAAGGCGATGTGCGCGCTGGGAGGCTTCAATCTGACGAAGTTTAACAGTAACAGCATCGAAGTCCTTCAGTCAGTACCTAAACAAGACAGAAGCAAGCAGGTTAAGGATCTGACGTTCGGATCTGACCCCCTACCTACGGAACGAGCTCTCGGCGTCGTTTGGGATCCAAACACGGACACCATCGGCTTCAACGTAGACATGCAGAAGCTGACGCGGAAGACAGCCACCAAACGAGGGTATCTGTCTGCAGCCGCGTCCTGCTATGATCCTCTCGGTCTGGCAGCTCCCTGTGTCGTCAGAGCGCGAGTGATCATTCAGAAGCTGCACCGTCTTGCGGTGGGATGGGACGACAAGGTGCCGGAGAGCCTGAGAAGAGAATGGGAGGGATGGTTGACTGACCTGCGCAACCTGTCTCTTCTGAAGATACCAAGGTGTCTGTCACCGTTGGGACTGGACGCGGCGCTTGATGCTGGGGACACGATTCAACTTCATCACTTCGCTGATGCCAGTTCGTTAGCGTACGGTGTCGTCTCGTACGTGCGCTGTGTTGGTGACCACTCCAGCTGCACGCTTCTTTTCAGCCGGGCTCGACTTGCGCCGATGAAGCAGCTCAGCGTGCCGCGTCTGGAGTTAGCGGCAGCGACGCTCGCCGTGAAGAGTAGCCTGGAACTGCAGAGAGCGCTGGAAGTGGACGCCGATATATATTTCTGGACGGACAGTACCACCGTCTTGAAATACATCAAGAACGAGAAGACGAGATTTCATGTGTTTGTCGCAAACCGCCTTGCGGTCATCCACGATGGTTCCACGGCCGGGCAGTGGCACTACGTGCCAAGTGAGTCAAATCCAGCTGACCTCGTATCGCGCGGAATGAACGCCTCCTCTCTGATTCACAGCGATCTCTGGAGATTTGGACCCAGCTTCCTGAACGGGAAGGATCAGGAGTGGCCTGCAAACCCTGCCGAAGACGCTGTGAGCGAGGCCGATCCGGAGGTGAAGGCTGTTGTCATGACCACGACATGCAAAGATACCTCTCCTATCGAGAAGCTGACCCAGTACTACTCATCTTGGAGACGTCTGGTCAGAGCCGTGGCACTGCTCCGCCGGCTGGTGCTGCGGTGGAAAAAGAGCGCGCCTCAGGATGTGAAGACTACGGCGCGTCTGACTGTATCGGACCTGGAGGCGGCAGAGAGCTGCATCCTCAAAGACGTACAAGCTAGACATTTCAGTCAGGAACTCTCCGACTTGAAGTCCGGCAAGCCTGTGAGCACTTCGAGCTCCCTGGTGCGCTTGGACCCATGGCTGGAGGGAGACACGCTTCGAGTTGGTGGACGACTCAGGAACAGTGCTCTGCCATTTGACTCGAAGTTTCCCAAGATCCTTCCGGGACGAGACCCTGTGGTGGACCTGCTCATCACTGCAGCTCATCAAAACGCCGGACATGAAGGCAGGCAACACGTCCTGTCTGATCTGAGAGCGTCGTACTGGATCGTGGGCGCCAACACCGCGGTGCGTCGCTGTCTCAACCGCTGCATCAGCTGCAAAAAGAGACAGAAGCAGACAGAGCATCAGAAGATGGCCGATCTTCCTGAAACGAGACTGGGCGTGGGCGACAAGGCTTTCACCCACACGGGAGTCGATTACTTCGGCCCTTTTTTCGTCAAGCAAGGTCGCTCACAGGTGAAGAAGTACGGCGTGGTATTTACGTGCTTGGCAATCCGCGCGGTTCACCTCGAAGTCGCTGATGATTTGTCCACAGATTCTTTTCTGTGTGCCCTGCGACGCTTTGTGGCGCGGCGCGGCGGCGTCCGATCCCTTCGATCGGATCAAGGGACGAACTTCATCGGAGCGGAAAAGGAATTAAAAGAAGAAGTCAACAAACTGAAGCAGCACGAAGGTGAAATCCACGAAGCAGCTCTCCGTCTCGGCATCGACTGACGCTTCCATCCTCCCCACGCCTCTCACTTTGGCGGTGTTTGGGAGCGTCAGATACGTACCATCAGGAAGCTGCTCAACGCTCTGCTGACACAACAGACGTTCTCACTTCAGACTTTGCAGACACTCCTGTGCGAGGTGGAAGCGATCATCAATAACCGCCCGCTGACACCCGTATCAGCTGATGCGCATGACCAACCCCCACTAACTCCAAATCATCTCCTCCTCCTTCGCAGTGTCGTATTCCCTCCTTCAAGCACAGAGTGGGATCATCACAGGACAGGAGCTGGAAGCAGGCCGGCTACCTCGCCGATCTGTTTTTGGCGTCGATGGAGGACGGAGTATCTCCCTCTGCTGCAAGAGCGGAGCGGACGCGCAACAAGAAGTCGAGACAACGTGAAGAAAGGAGACATCGTCCTGATGGTCGACGACTCTGTACCGCGTGGAGTGTGGCCGCTGGGCCGGGTCGAAGAGGCCATCGTGAGCGCTGACGGCCGAGTGCGCTCTGTCCGAGTTCGCGCACGCGGTACATCGTACTACAGACCGGTCACTAAGATCGTCAAGATCCTCGACGAGAGTAACCCAAGACGAGAGTGAAAGGAAAACGAAGGAACAAGACTGCCAGAGTTGAGAGTCAAGTTGTGACTCAAGAAGAGATGCGTGTTACGAAGAAGTTTATTTGTTTTGATGCTCACTTGTAAGCATCAAAAAGGGGAGGGTGTAAGTGCCTTTCCTGACGCCTTCCTACCTACCTGCTTCCTTTTCGCGATCGGCGCGACATCTGCAGAGTAGTGTCTTTGATCGTCGCTAGATGGCACTGCTGTTGTGTTCGCCAGCTGACCGATAGTGGTGGGGTGGTGGTCAAATTCGAAGTAGATATTCGATGTGAGAACTATTTGAGTTGTTTGATCAGCTGTTTCGGTTTTTGGGACACGTATGACGTGGAAGAATGGCGGTCAGACCAGATTTTGTTGCTCTGTTCCGATGTGGCGAGTGAGGACACAAATCTTGGTAAGAAGATGTATCTTGAATGTAATGTAATATGCAGGTATTGATATGCCAAACTCGTTGAGCGCAATATGTTTTGTGTCTTTCGTGGTGGCTTGTGATAATTGCCATGCTGGTGAACATTTGTGTATTTTGAGACAAATGTAGCGCGGAGGTTTGATGGATATATTATGTTTATTTTTCTGTGTTTGACGACTGTTCTTGATTTAGTTGTTTATTTATTTGCTGGTGTTTTCGCAGATACCATTCATTCGGTCATTCATTGATTTCACCTGGCAACAATAAATTGCTGGACTGACTGGATGCGTGATCAGAGTTTCTTCGGATCGCTACATGGGGCGGATGCAGCAATAGTGTGGTCGTATTACTATTTGTATTACAGACCCCCAAGTCGTATTACTGTTTTGATGTTAGAAAAGCTGGTGTCTGATTGACATTGCTGTCGTGGATGAAGAAGTACAGTCTTCAACATCTCTGTGATGCTGACACCCTCGATAACTAGTGACTCTTAACTTCTTGTGTTGTAAGTACGTACGTAATTAAACGCTAAACAGTAAACGGCCATTGAGTGTTGACTGATACACACTAACGGTTTTGCAGATCAAAAAGTGTCGCCGCGTGCACCACTACGTGAACGCCGGCGACTCGAGCTCCAGCAACTGGCTGCGGCTGGTCAACTGTGCCCGCTTCGAGCAGGAGCAGAACCTGATCGCCTTTCAGTACAAGGGCCAGATGTACTACAGGTAAGAAGTGCATCTTGTATGGCATATAAACAGATAACCTGGTAGTTGATCAATTTTCTTACTGGGGTATCAATTTTCTTACTGGGGTTATTGAACAGAACGATGGTTTCTGGACTCCACGGACTGTAAATGATATGTTTTTGTGCCAGTAAGACAATTAATGAACACTGAACATATCTTCTCCAGAACGTACAAGCCGATTGTGAAGGGCTCCGAGCTGCTGGTCTACTACGGAGACGCCTACGCCCGGGAGCTCAGCATCAACGTGCAGACGTTCAGGAAGGCTCCGGCCGCCGCCCCGCCGCCAGCAGCCTTCGTGTCAGGTGGGCGACCGAATGTAATTTTGATTATGGAATGGACGTAAGGCACTTGACCGAAGTTGGTATCTTACATAATGATATTTCTCCGGTGAATTAAAGTGGTTAATGTGTTTTTTTTATCCTTTCGTCGATTTCAGCTGCGCACTGCATGGGCTCGAAAGCATTAAAGCACTGGATGTGTTGGACGTTTCACTGGGATGGTCAAAATGGGCCAAATGGCGCGTCAGTAATCTGTTTGAAAGCGACATCGAAGTGGTCGTCAGTTGCTGTTGTTGTTGGGTTAGGCTCCTTTGGTGTATTGAGATTTGAGACCATTTATATTATCGCTGAGCCTGGGCCACTTTTACCTACACTACGACGAAATGGGCTGCACTATGGCGAATATCATGCCGCGATTCAATATATGAAATCACTATGTATGCCGTACTGTGGAAATCGCCTGCACTATCAATGAAATGGGTGCACTGCCGCCTAAATTGGGCGTGAAAAGGTGAATGACATATGTTAATATTCATTACATTCATTCATTACCTTAACCCGCGCCCTGCTGGGGGGGGGGGTGTTTGAACACCCCCTTGTGGTTTTTCGCGAATATCTCAAAAACGGCGGCGCGGAGCGCCGCCGTTTTTGGTACACCTTATCATACATCAATTCTACACATGTTGTGAAAATTTCAGACCAAGGTCATTCAAGGTCAGGTCACCAGGTCACTTGAAGTGACCTCACCTCATAAAAAGTTTCAATGTCTGTCATAGCTACACCGAGTGACCGATCGTTTTGAAACTTTTGAAACTTTCAGCGATTGCTAAGAGCAATAGCATGTACAAAATGTATATCTCAGAATTTTGATATCGATGACCTAAGGTCAGGTCAATTTTGCGACCTCCCCAATAAGTCAATGGGAGAAAATTGAAATGCGCCTCTTTTGGAGGAAAGACATTATAAACACCCCCAAACACTGAATTACAAGTGGTTTAGACACACTGAACATGAAAATGGTGTCCGTGACCCCTGTTTATGCCCTGAGGTCATCTTAGGTCACGAATGGTATCTAACAGTTTTTCGCAAATAGCTTTTGATAAAGGCATGCTAGAGCGATGAAAACGCCTTAGATGTGTTCAGCTCGACGATACGGATCGACTGGTATGCAACATGACCCTTTCCGGTCAGGTCATGACCTTGACCTGAGGTCAAATTTTCAAGTTGACCTTTTAAGGTCAAGTTATAGTTCATTCGATGCGTCTTGACGAGAGGAACACGATGCCGGTAAAAGTAAGCTCGTACAAGGCTTGGGTCAAAAGTTATTGCAAAAAAACTGTTTCCGAAAAAAATCGGCTATTTTTGTAGTTTTTGCCCCCTGCAGGCAAAACCGTTGACGTTAGGTCAAATCTGAGAAAATTACTCAGAAAGGGCGTTAATAGGGCTATCGAATGCGCTTTTCCGCGGCGCTGTAGCTCTATTGGTTCCCGAGTTATGCGTTGGCTTCTTGGAAATTGTCGACATTCGACCTGGAAATCGGCGAAATTTTGCCTTCAATGACCTCTGGTGACCTCACCTTTGACCTGACCAAAAAATTGACCGAAGTGATTTCGTCATTATTTTTGACGCTCTTTCGAACGCCGCCTTCCGTGTATCGCTACGTGGCCCAGGAGCCGAGTTAGAAGGGGGGTGTTCAAACACCCCCCCCCCCCCAGCAGGGCGTGGAAATCCAGGACCCCCAGCCGGGCGCGGGTTAATTACTTATATTACATTACATTACACACACGTATTCTATGTTTGGCGTAACTTGGATGTTGTTGTATTGTAATGCATTCAATGTCATTCGCCAGGTGGCTCCACGGTCCGCTGCGTCCACTGCGACTACGCCTGTCTGGGACAGGAGCGGCTGGACAAACATGTGAAGACACGGCACGGTCACATCGGCAGGAACGGACGGTTCAAGTGTGAGTGGTGTGAGTACTGTACGAACAATGCGTTTAATTTGAGTAACCATCGCCTCACCCACACGGGAGAGCGGCCACACCGCTGTGACGAGTGCGGCAGGACGTTTACACGGCTCAGTCATCTGACCCGTCACCGCCTCATACACACCGGCCAGAGACCGTACGTGTGTGACGTCTGTGGGAAGGCGTTCACACAGAACAGTCATCTAACGAGCCACAGAAGGATCCACACCGGGGAGAAGGTGCGTCAGTGTGAGCAGTGTGGCGCCGAGTTTAACAGACTGTCTCATTACACTACACACATGCAGTCTCACAACGGAGTGAAGCCACACCGGTGCCAGGTGTGCTCGGCCCGGTTCGTTACACGACGGCACCTCACCACACACATGCGGACTCACACGGGGGAGCGGCCGTACGGGTGCTCCTTCTGCCCGGCACGGTTCACATTACAGTCGCACATGAGGAGACACGTCACCGCCCGGCACACACACGACTACCGACACAGGTGTGAGCGGTGTGGTAAGGGATTTGTGGCGCCCTGTAAACTGAGGAAACACAGTGAGAGGTGCACGGTGACCAGCTGATATGTGTGTAGCTGTAAAGGCGGGATGGTTGTTACGAGCCTGTTGTGATTTTATATTGCATGCTATTGCCGGTGGATCAACTTATTGTAACAATGTGACTGTTGGCTATGATCGTTGATTAGGGCCGTTGCTGCATGCCGCTTGATCAATTTTGGATAAAATCGCACGTACACGACTCGATGACATTGTGCTACGGTATTAAAGAACCTTGTAATTAGTTATATTAATCGTATTACTGGGCCCTATCGATAAATGGTTCGACCATACTGCAATGGTATGTCTCATGGATCGTTGTATTGATGTTTTACAGTTTTGTCTGTTCAATACATTTGGTGTTCGCATCTCGGCTCTTTCAAACGCCGTTCACATACCATTGGCTGTGGTAAAACAGTCTATCCTACACAGTCTCTCTATACGGCTGGACAGCTGTGGTGCACAATGCCGGTGCATTGACGTCCGGCCGTTCGTGGTGACCTGTCTCGGTGCACCACGCCGGCGCCATACCGCCCGCGGCACTATATGTCTGTGTGTGTGGTTAGACCACAAACACAGAGACGGGTTATATCGACCCCCACCAAACACGATTTGGTAGTACAGTAATGACGTCAGCTGGGCGTGAAGTTTGCCTTCACCATGGGGCTTACACACAAAATGGTCGAAGTTTGAGCCAGGATATACTAGTCTAAAAATGCAAAAAACGATGAACTTTTGGCATCAATAGATTCAGCGTTTCATCGTGTGCCTCAAACCGTCCATCATTTGGCCTCAAGGAAGGTGAAAAGTGTTCAAAATCGAAGTTGAAAAGGTGCTATCTTAGCAGAGAATCTGGTAGCAATCACGTGACTTGCTATAAGCAGTTCATCGATAATTTACTAATATAATTTTCCATCAGACCCCAGATTTTCTTCGATCAGTCAGCAGCTTTGGCATACCGTGATCGTACGGAGTGGGAATATTTTCTAAGAAATTTTCGATGCGTAATGCACCATTGCCTGCCCAACCGTTCGCCGGGAAACGCCGCATCGCGCTGCAACTCGCGCCTCGTTCAAGCCGCAGCGGGCCTCCGCGCGCGGGCTCTCAGCGACAAGGCGCATCTTCGCCCGTATACCTAGCACTGAAAACGGTTTCAAAGTCATTTTTACGCGACCCCTTGCTGAGCGGTGAACGAGGGGTCACATCTGTGGTGATTGGTTGAAAGTCCAATAATCACGGCGCGCGTTAGACGGCGTCCAGAGGCGCCAGGACTTTCCGGACACCCTGTACGCAGCGCTCACCAAGAGTATTTTCTCCTCCACCCGCTAGATGGCAGTAGACGCGTCGCCTGAATGGTATACTGTACCGCAGCGCTCACCAAGAGTATTTTCACCTCCACCCGCTAGATGGCAGTAGACGCGTCGCCTGAATGGTATACTGTACCGCAGCGATCACCAAGGGTATTTTCACCTCCACCCGCTAGATGGCAGTAGACGCGTCGCCTGAATGGTATACTACCTCCGCCCGCTAGATGGCAGGAGACGTCGTCCCCTGAATGGCATACTCATTACTCAAGGCTATAGAACTCCGGCATACTGTACCGCAGCGCTCACCAATAAGAGGTGCCAAATTTGTTCCCATTTTAATAACTCGGTAATTACTGGAGCGATTTCGCTGAAACTTGGCATACAGGTAGGCACCCACCAGGCAATGCATTCCCACGGGTTGCGGTTAGGGTGC